TCCACCACACTGCCCCGAACTACATCACTGACCTAATATCCAAGTACCACCCAGCACGCACACTCCGCTCCTCACAAGACCTCCTTCTCTCTAGTTCCCTGGTCTCCTCCTCCCATGCCTGCCTCCAGGACTTCTCCAGGGTGTCACCCATCCTCTGGAACTCCCTGCCCCAACCCATCAGATTATCACCTGCTCTCCTCTCCTTTAGCCGTACCCTGAAAACCCATCTCTTCAGGGAAGGCTACCCCACCCCCTGCTAACTTACTGACCTCCTCCACTCTTCCTACCACTCCATCCCCCACAGCTATCTCCTCCTGTGCCACCATCCCCTCCCTCCTAGATTGTAAGCTCGAAAGAGCAGGGCCCTCAATCCCCTCATGTTTTGCATTGTATTGTTATTTTTCTGTCACATGTTTTGTCCCCCTTTGTAATGTACAGCGCTGAGCGAACTATCAGCGCTTTATAAATACTGTATAATAATAATAATGACCACAGTCTGGTGGCTGACGAGTGGTTCCTTACAAGGCTCCTGTTTTCTCTTCACTTCCTGCTTTAGATAATCAGGATGTAAGAGAGGATCTCTCCAGAGTGAGGGAATATCCACTTTTAGACAGCTGACACCATAACAGGTGTCCACATTGGAAGATTTTCCCCGCACCTTAAAGCGATATTAAAGGTTCTTCTTTTTTGTAAAAATAACAAACATGGTATACTTAGCTATTCTAGATCCTGAAACCTGGATCCTTCTCTTCTCCGGTGCTCCTGGCTCATCCTTTCTATCGGGTGCCCATGGGGGCACCTGAGCAAGCATGTTCCTGAGCCGCTGCTCCGCGTGTCCATTCACACATAGAATTGTGGCTTGGCCCCTCCCCCTCTCTCTCCTTATTGGCAGACTGGCTGTGATTAACAGCATTAGGAGCCAATGGCTCCCGTTTGCTGTCTCAGCCAATGAGGAGGCAGAGACCCAGGACAGCCCAGCCTGTTGTGCACATCGCTGGATCCCAAAGGGAATCAGGTAAGTATTGAGGTGGAAGGGGGCACTGCTGCACACAGAAGATTTTTTTACCTTCATGCATAGAATGCATGAAGGTAAAAAACCTTGAGTCTTTACAATTACTTTAAGGTCCAGTGGCAAATAAAAAATTACACTATCACTTTTTGCACTGGAGACAATTACCAGGGCCGATAAAGAAAATAAATCTCTTTGGCAATAACACACAGACAGTAATAAAAATCTGACAAAGGTTTAACCCTTCCACATTCTATCCAAAACAAAAAAAAATAAAAATTGGTTTGACAAACACTTTTACCATGTTACTATATATATAAATCAGATAATTTACATTAGGCTGACATTTAAAACATTAAAAAGCCTAAACATTTAGATTGGTTGCAAAGGTTAAACATTTGCAAGTTGATGCAATATTATCAGCTTGCTCAACTGTGAAATTAATGTGTAATTAATTTTCAGAAAACAAAATTTTAGAGCCCTGAGCTGCAATGACAAGGTGACTAGTGACTATTATTGAAACTGTTTTTCAGTACAGCTTTGAATTAAATATACTGTAACTACCTGCACCTTTATACATCTCATACATGATGGAATTCATATAGTCAGTGAATGTGTTCTACACGAGTGCTAGAAAAATTAACAAATGTACTTTCTTTCACAAGGCTCAATTTTAAAACCATTTAAAATACACAGCAATTTACAGACTTGTTGAATAAACATATTATTACATGCAATAAGGCATGCTGTACCTTACTATAGAAAACAAACTGAGGTGTTCACAGATGAATGAGTCACAGAATCTTCAAAACCCCACTCAGAAGTGGTTTGTGGGGGTCACAATTGTTAACATATAATTATTGAGTGTATAACTTCACAGTAGATGCCAGTTATATACCATATCTATTAAAAGTGACCATTAGTATGCGAATCAAATAGCAAGCAGTGCATCCCAAAGAGGTTTACAGCTGTTAGTATAAAATTGCAGTATCTGGATTTATACTTGAAACCTCACTGCTGCTGAGATTAGCGTGGTTAATGGTTGGTTAAAGGATAAGTTCACTTATAACATGTTACATGCACATATACCTGTATTCGGGGTGTAACATGTTATTGCTGCAGCTGCCCCCACAAGCCCTGAGTCCCCGCTCTAACTGCAGGTCAGGGATCTTCTCCCCCTGTTTGCTGTCACGATTTTAAAAAGATACATCCATGTGGGGCTCGGCATCATTCATTCACAGAGTTCTGTGAATTGGAGAACTACTGTACAAGTACCAACAGCCTTTGCAGATGATGGCTTGGACAGTACAAGTACCAACAACCTTTGCAGCTGATGGCTTGGACAGTACAAGTACCAACAGCCTTTGCGGCTGACAGCTTGTACTGCAGGGCACTGGTGAGCCCTCTAGGTAGTTCAATGATGCTTTCTGTCATTGTGTAACTGCCTGTCTGTACGAGGTATAAGCGGACAGTTTACACTGACAGTCTGCAAGAGCCCTGCATTGCACTAGCGATCTGCTGATCGCAGGTGCAATGCTTTACAGTCTCCTAATTAAAAAAAAATGAATAAATGCACATTTTTTACCTGCAAAAAAGATGTGCATTTATTATTTTTTTCTAAAGTTGAACTTAGCCTTTAAGTATCCCAATGTATCCATTCATGAATGTTTTATCTACAGATAGTTAAAAAACATGCATTTTGTGTTCATGTGTAGGGTAGGGTTATATCCTGGTACAGTATCCCAAATGAAATGCGAAGAAAGTACTGGTATATCCAGTGTTAATGAATGCACAGATGGACACTATGATCTCCATGCCTCAAGCTAGCCATAACATAATTGACGGATTCTATTGATTTTCTATGGTTAACCTTACGAGCTGAAAGAGAGAAATCTAAAAGTCTAATGCTCACTTCAGTCTTGTGACTTTAAAGTGGGAGAAAATCCTAAATCTAACTATTTCTAGTAATGTAACTCCTACAAATCTTGCCTATTTTGTATAAAAAGGATTTGTATACTTGCCTATATTTTAATCTGTTACAGTCTGGTCATGTGATCCTGCAACTCCTGTTGCCCTGTGTCAGTAAGCGGCTGCTGCAGGGGAGAGGAGGGAGCTTCGACAATGATGGGACTATGGGGACCTATGGGTGATGTACACAGAGAGCTTTTCCCCAGAACTCCACAACAGTTTTTTCGTAGTGCAGTGTCACTAGAGCAGCTAGTCAGTGTCCTTGATCACTAGCCACCTACGTGCAGTATCACTAGGGTGACATTGTACTAGGACACTGTCTGGCTGCACTGGTATGATCACATTATACTAGGACACTGGCTGACTGCACTGGTATGATCACATTATACTAGGACACTGGCTGGATGCACTGGTATGATGACGTTGTACTAGGACACTGGCTGGCTGCACTGGTATAATGACATTGTACTAGGGTGGCTAGTTATCAGGAACACTGACAGGCTGGTCTGATAGCAGCTAGCCAGTGTCCTTGACAGACCAGTGTAAACCACCAACAGTGTTCCTGATTAATGACACCCCAGTACAGTGTCACCAGACCAGTGTAATCCATTGACAGTGCTCCTGATCATGGCTACACCAGTTCCAGTGTCACCAAACCAGTGCAGCCAGCAACAGTTTCCTAACTACTGCCACACCACTGCCAGGGTCAACAGAACCAGTATAGGCCAGCAACAGTGTTTCTGATCATTTTCATATCAGTCCCAGTGTCAACAGACCAGTGCAGCCAGAAACAATGTTCATAATTGCTAGCCGAACTAGATCCTGTGTCCCCAGAGCCAGTGCAGCTGGCTGTTCCTGATCACCACCACACCAGTACAGTGTTGCCTCTGCCTGCCTCCTGTATTGACCCTGTGCGGACCGATCCCTTGCCTGTTTATTCATCATATCTTTACCTGTTGCCCAAGTACATTGTTTTTGATGCAATGTTGGTTGATTTTTGTGATACACAAGATACAATTAGGGTTGCCACCTCATCCCTTTAAAACCAAACACATATAAATTATATAGGTTCTGTGGCTCATTAAGATGGTAATTAAACTCACTTAGTGCCTTATCTACATTAAATTAGCCCCAGAACCTGTGTAATTATTATGTGTTTGGGTTTAAAGGGATGATGAGGTGGCAACCCTAGATACAATGCACTGTGCATAATTAGTTTGAGCATTGGAGAAGTCCAATTCATACTAATGAGGAGTAGCAGAATGTATTTTGGGGTGTAATTCTAAGTATGCTCATGCTGTGTGTGAGAATTTTTTTTTAATTCACTGTGTAAAGAAACTTACATTTTCATTTTTTTTAAATGTGTGTTTTTCAAGTACTTGTGGTGGCGTGGTGCCTTGCCGTGTCTACTTTTCAAAATATGGTAATTTTGTGAATGTTTCTACTGCTGTTGCATTCCAGGGCCTCCAAACCCGTGATCGGTAGTCAGGAAATTAAATACCTAATTTATGTCCCTTGAAAGCCTGAAGGTGCTCCCTGGATTTTGGGCCCTTTTGCTAGACTGTAAAGAATTCCCACATGTGCAGTAAGAGGGGGAGAGGGAGTGGCAAAATGCATTTTAAGGTGTAATTCTATGTATGCTCTTGCTGTATGAGAACTATCCTATTAATTGACAGTTGTATGCAAAAAAAATTACATTTTCTTTCTTCATTTTCCAAAAATGTTGGGAAAAAAAAGTGAACTTCAAAAGACTCACCATGCCTCTAATTACATACTGTATCTAGTTGCCGACCGCAGATAGCCGAATGACGGCTGCACTGCGGCCGGCCAGTTCTGGGTGGACGTCATATGACGTCCTCCCAGAACGCGCTCTCCTGCGCGCCCCAGGGGGCGTGCACCCGGCGATCTCCATGATCGCTGTGTCCTACGGACACAGCTGATTACGTGATGTGGTAAAAGGCCAATCACAGCGGCCTTTTACCACGGGATCAGCCGTGTCCAATGACACGCTGATCACCGGGAAATTCAATTGCCGGTTCTCGGCTGCACTTTCCTCACGCTGTCATATCGTGAGGAAAGTACTGCCGAGAACCGGCAGTTGTCAGAGCGGGGATCGGCACCGATCATCAGGGCACTGATGATCAGTGCCCTGATGATCTGTGCCCAGCAGTGCCACCCACCTGTGCCCACTAGCTCCGCCCACCTGTGCCCAGCAGAGCACCCACCTGTGCCCAGTAGATCACCCACCTGTGCCCAGCAGTGCACCCACCTGTGCCACTCTGCAGTGTCACACACCTGTGCCCAGAAGTGCCACCTACCTGTGCCCAGCAGTGCCACCCACCTGTGTCCACCCACCTGTGCCCACCAGTGCCACCCACCTGTGCCCACCCACCAGTGCTGCCCAGCAGTGCCACCCACCAGTGCAGCCCAGCAGTGCTGCCAGTCAGTGCCACCAGTCAGTGCCCAGCGGTTGTGCCAGTCAGTGCCACCAGTCAGTGCCCAGGAGTGATGCCAGTCAGTGCCGTCTATCAGTACCCATCATCTGTGTCACCTATCAGTGCCGCCTATCAGTGCTGCATATTAGTGCCGCCTATCCGTGACACCTCATTAGTGCTGCCTATCAGTGCCGTCTATCCGTGCCACCTTATTAGTACTGCCTATCAGTGCCCTTTAGTGCTGCCTATCAGTGCCACCTATCAGTGCCCATCAGTGCTGCCTCATCAACGCACATCAGTGAAGGAGAAAAATTACCTGTTTGAAAAATTTTATAATAGAAACAAAGAAACTTTTTTTTTTTTTTTTGAATTTTTCGCAATTTTTTTGTTTATAGCGCAAAAAGTAAAGCGCCCAGTGGCGATTAAATACCACCAAAAGAAAGCTCTATTTGTGAGAAAAAAAATGATCAAAATTTCATATGGGTACAATGTTGCATGACCGCGCAATTGTCAATCAAAGTGCGGCAGCGCTGAAAGCTGAAAATTGGCCTGGTAAATAAGGGGGTATAAGTGCCTGGTAGGCAAGTGGGTATATTGGAAGGTCTACTTTGCAAACTGTGCTCATGTGGGTTATTTTCTTGTCTTGGTATTTCAGGGCCTAAATACAAATAGACAGCGAAAAAGTCTCACACGTGGTATTACTTGAGAGGAGCAGAAGAAAAAACTGGAAAACACAAACAACCCCCGCGAAAAATAAAATAGCAAAGCTTCTTACTAAATATCACCTACTTTCCAAAAATGTGAGTGTAGTGTCCTTACATATTAGGGCCCCATGAAGAGAGGCAGGCAGTCAGTACATCAGTGTTGAGATATATATATATATATATATATATATATACAATATTTATAAGTATATATACATACATACACACCGTAGTTTGTAAACTTTCACACACACTAGATATACACTTGTTTTTTTTAACCAAGAATATATAGCAAATACATTTGCTCTAAATTTATGAAGTAAGAGTTTTTGCAATGCTGTATAGCAGAAACAAAGGGATACTCTTTCTTTTCAAAAATTTATTTTTTCCTTTATATAGTAAAAACTAAAACCACCAATGATAATTAAATACCAGCAAAAGAAAGTTCTATATGTATTAAAAAATTATAGAAAATTCCTTCGGGTACAGTGTTGTAAGACCAAGAAATTATTAGTGAAAGTATCACAGTGCTAAAAACTGAAAATGGCCTGGACAGGAAGGGAGTTTACTATGGGGGTTTACTATATTGGTGGTTAATAGAGCCATAACAAACGTGTTCATGGTCAGTTATTTCTGATTCATCAAGAAATGTAATTTCTCATGGAGTAATAATGAGTAAAAAACTTACACATCCAATCATTCCCATAACTTTTCCAAAAGGACTTCTAACTGATTAACAATATATGTATATGCCTCCATGTATGGTTTGAGCATAGGGGTTATTTATTAAAGCCAGTGCAAAATCTGGTGCTACTCTACATAGAAACAGATCAGCTTCCAGGTTTGAGTGCCAAAGTTTAATTGAACAAGGTATAGCAAGAAGTTGTTTGGCTACCCTGCACAGCTGCACCAATTTCTTAGTAAATCTCCCCCTTAGTGTCTACAGATGAACTTTTTTTTGTCACACTTCCATGAGCATTGAAATCCAATGAAGCAGCATGAGCAGCATGTCATATCCCTCTAAGAAAGTCAGTTCTGGACGAATTGTGTCAGTATTTGCTTGGCAAGTTCAAGACAGAGCCCACTTTGGTACATATACCCCTCTCGAGAAATTATCTTTTTTGTGTGAGATTGAACTGATATTTCTATGTACATTTTGTGAATAGACGAATTACCCTTTTGACACTATTGGATTTTGGACATTTGAGTGTGGTGGAAGTTACTGGATTCAAAGAGCAGACTTCTTTAATGTTTTTGGCAGGTGGTCACTCTATGCCATGCAACCTTTCATACATTGTGGAGATTGAGTGCTCACATTAACTTTGAACCCTCTGAGTTTCTATGACCACTATGGAGAAAACGCTTTCAATCTTCGGCTTTCACATTAACTTCACTTCCTGCATGTACAAAATGTATGTTTTTGAACTAAATTTAGATAAAGAGTTTACACTCATTTGAACAATGCATCTAGCGAATTCATACATTCAACTGTGTATACCATATTAATAAAACCCTGGAGACATGGGGTTTCAAGTGTTTTCATGACACCGCAATTTTAAATGAATAGCTGGGAACCTCTATGGGGGATCACTGTTTGCTGTTTGATCCACATAATAATGGTCACATAGGATGCAAAGATACAGATGGATATGAAATATAACTGGAGTCTACTGTGAGTTGAAATGGAGTGAATCATTTAAACATGGGAGAATTACACGCCAACATGTGTGAACCCACAAATGCAAGAAGTTAAAGGTTTGAAGTTTCTGTGACACATTAACCTTTTTGGTAACTGTTTTCCATATTAAAGTGCTTCAATTTCAGGTCTTGCAATATTGGTGATTACATAATTTCATTAGATAACCAATACAAGCTCACACCCATTAGGGAAGTACAAATTAGTAACTAGCTGCATATAGAATATACATTACTTGTGGATATACCGGAAGCTGTTGGTTAATAGACATACATGTTCCAGAAATAACTCTTTGCCCGTGTGTTTGGATTTACAAATAGTTGCTGTTCTTTTTTCCAGACAGTTGGAAAATCATTATATTTAACAGGATCAATGGGCTCTTTTCACAAAGTGGTATCTTACCGCATTCGAGTATGTGGTAAAATACCGCACAGCAATTTAAAAAAAATGTTTGCAACTCACAAAAAAATGCTACTAAAATACAGCATGAGTTATTTTATGAAGTCATGCGGTATTTTAGTACAAACAACGTCAGAAGCGTCTTACCTGGGCTAAAGAAAAACAGACCTTGTCTGTTGCTCAGTGGTCCAAAGTCCTCTTTTCTGATGAGAGCAACTTTTGCATCTCGTTTGGAAACCAAGGACCCAGAGTATGGAGGAAGAATGGAGAGGCACACACTGCAAGATGCTTGAAGTCCAGTGTGCCGTTTCCACAGTCTGTGTTGATTTGGGGAGCCATGTCATCTGCTGGTGTTGGTCTACTGTGCTTCATTAAGTCCAGGGTCAACGCAGCCGCCTATCAGGAGATTTTGGAGCACTTCATGCTTCCTTCCACAGACAAGCTTTATGGGGATGCTGACTTCACTTTCCAGCAGGACTTGGCACCTGCCCACACTGCCAAAAGCACCAAAACCTGGTTCAATGACCGTGGGATTACTGTGCTTGATTGGCCAGAAAACTCGCCTGACCTGAACCCCATAGAAAATCTATGGGGCATTGCCATGAGAAAGATGAGAGACATGAGACCAAACAATGCAGAAGAGCTGAAGGCCGCTATTGAAGCATCCTGGTCTTCCATAACACCTCAGCAGTGTCACAGGCTGATAGCTTCCATGCCACGCCACATTGAGGCAGTAATTGCTGCAAAAGGGGCCCAAACCAAGTACTGAGTACATATGCATGCTTATACTTTTCAGAGGTCCGATATTGTTCTATGTACAATTCTTGTTTTATTGATTGCATGTAATATTCTAATTTTCTGAGATTGTGGATTTGGGGTTTTCATGAGCTGTAAGCCATAATCATCACAATTATGACAAATCACAGCTTGAACTATCTTGCTTTGCATGTAATCAGTCTATCTCATATATTAGTTTCACCTTTTAAGTTACATTACTGAAATAAATGAACTTTTGCACGGTATTCTAATTTTTCGAGTTTCACCTGTAATTACGTAGTTAGTCTGGCTGAAAAAAGAGAAAAGTGCATCCAGTTCAACCAATAAAAAAAAAAAAGTTATAGTCCTATACCAGTGATGGCGAACCTATGGCACGCGTGCCAGAGCTGGCACGCAGAGCCATCTCAGTGGGCACGCCAGGAAGAAGAGGATGATGAGCGCACACGGACCGGCCATCCAGATCTCGTCCACACTGGACCCCCATCAAACTACATTTCCCACATGTCTCTGGGGCCAGGGTGGGCGTGGACGAGAGGAAACGGCTCCAATGCGGCTCTGGCACCAGGGGTGATGTACCCGGGGATGGGCGCGGAAGAGAGGAAGAGGCTCCCACACTGCTCCGGGGCCAGGGGCAACGTGTTCAGCATGAATGGGAATGAGCTGCTGGGTTGGAAGCCACACCGACCCTGCCAGAGGTGAGATTAACTGCTTGCAGTGTCATCCATCAGTGCCCAGCAGTGTCGCCTGTCAGTGCCCAGCAGTGTCGCCCATCAGTGCTGCCCATCAATGATGCCCAGCAGTGCCATCCATCAGTGCCCAGCAGTGTCGCCTGTCAGTGCTGCCCAGCAGTGCCACCTGTCAGTGCTGCCCAGCAGTGCCACAAGTCAGTGCCCAGCAGTATCGCCCATCAGTGCTGCCCATCAGTGCCACCCATCAATGATGCCCAGCAGTGCCATCCATCAGTGCCCAGCAGTGTCACCCATCAGTGCCCAGCAGTGTCGCCTGTCAGTGCTGCCCAGCAGTGCCACCTGTCAGTGCTGCCCAGCAGTGCCACCTGTCAGTGCCCAGCAGTGTCGCCCATCAGTGCTGCCCATCAGTGCCACCCATCAATGATGCCCAGCAGTGTCATCCATCAGTGCCCAGCAGTGTCACCCATCAGTGCCCAGCACTGTCGCCTGTCAGCGCTGCCCAGCAGTGCCACCTGTCAGTGCTGCCCAGCAGTGCCACCTGTCAGTGCCCAGCAGTGTCGCCCATCAGTGCTGCCCATCAGTGCCACCCATCAATGATGCCCAGCAGTGCCACCGATCAGTGCCGTCTGTCAGTGCGTCCAGGTCGGCAAGTGGTTAATTGCAGTGTTGGCACTTTGAAATAAAAAA